TGATTTGTTCATTTTGGCCACTCTGACTGGCGTGAGGGGATATCTGAGTGTGGTTTTGATTTGTATTTCCCTGATGAGGAGCGACGTTGAGTATCTTTTCATATGCCTGTTGGCCATCCGGATGTCTTCTTTAGAGAAGTGTCTATTCATGTTTTCTGCCCATTTCTTCACTGGGTTATTTGTTTTTCGGGTGTGGAGTTTGGTGAGCTCTTTAATAGATTTTGGATACTAGCCCTTAAAGGAAACTTTAAATCACACATTATAGAGTTAATAGCCATTTTTCCCCATCTTAAACCAGATTTCTATGAATACAGTCGCAGTTCCTAATACAGCTTGCCTTTGAGCAATTAATATTTAAAGTTTAATTATACCTAACAGTTGAAAGGTTTAAAAAGGGTATTTATAAAAGGTTATTGCAGCCTGCAACTTAATTTTTTTCATCGGCCCATAATTTCCAGGGTGGTTATTTTCCAGTAACTCAATATTCCTCTGAGTACTAACACTCAGTACTTTACAGAATGACATAGTTCTTGGAAATACATAATGGAGAATTATGAGGTAGAGTATAAGTACCAAAGTATCTGTATTTTTTATGTTTATGAAAAGACTTTTTCAGTTTTGTCTTTTATTCCTTTATTATTTCTTACTGTAAAATTTTGATTGATGTTTGGATGCTATTTGTTTTTGGAAACCACAAATAATAGGTTTCAGAATCTTATATTTCAGTAGTTATTACCAGACTTTTGACATGGGTCTTTCAGCTACTTGATATTGAAGATTGGGAAAATATTGAAATATAACATGAAATGGAATCTTTGGAATGGACTCTGTCTGAAAACAGCTCTATCAGTTAATGTTTTGTTTTTCTTCTGTTTACCTGTGAAGCCAGTTAAAATTATCTCACCTAGGTATGTGGAGGGAAAACACTAAGGATAATGTCCAAATATAGTTCTGCATTGATAGGGAGATGGTCATCGCAAAATGGTGAACCTCAAAAGTGAAATTGTATGAAAATGAAGGAGCATTACATAAGCATTTATTTTTCTTGCAGTGATGATAAGTGTGTTTTTAAATTGGACAGTGTTTTTTTTCTTAGCATTAAGTAATTATCTGATGTGTGTCATCTTTCTATTAAAAAACTTTTTCATGGAAAAACATGATGGCTTGTAAGCCTTATAAAGTGTAAGGCTGTGAACCCTAATTCAAAGCCACAATGTTACCTGATGAATAAAATGGTAGTATCAGCCATAGCTGATATTTCATGTGGCTATTTAAATTTAATAGAAACTTCAGTTCCTCAGTTGCACCAGCCATGTTTCAAGTTCCCAGTAGCCACGTGTGGCTAACACATTGACATCAAGATAAGTTCTGTTGGACAAGGCTGGTCTGGATGGCACATTCTAAAAATCTTAATTATAAGTGACAGACGAAGTCATGTGCATTCATAAGCCTTTTTCTTAAGCTCTTCAAATGACCATACTTTGAGAGTTTTGTTTACTTTTAATGGTTACTCTTAATGGGTAGTGAATACTCAGGTTTTTCTTCCTTCACATTTTCTGAAGCTATTTCATAGTATGTCAGGTTCTAACAAGCTCTCATTACAGTAGTAGTAGATGGAAAGCACCTGTGATTTGGTGGAAGCATATGTGGGGCAGCACATACAGGGATGCTCTTGTGAAACATACCACTGTTTCTGTAAGGGCAAAATGGAAACCTGCATCATATGCCTAATAGGTTTTTAATGGGGGGGCTTTCCTCAGGTCACGCTATTATCAGAAACTGTAGATGTCTAGAATTCATGAGGACCTTTTTACACATTTTACATTTTTTGAGGACTCCAGGGATAGTGTTATATTAGTTTAGAGCCTACAGTGTTTCAGCACATTTGTAACTGTTGTCCTTGTGAGCCTTGCACTCTGTTAGTTGAAGTTTTTTGCATTTGAATGGCAGTGATAGTTACTACATATGTAAATTCCAGGTTCCCAGCTTCCCCCTAGACCCCAAAAAGTGTGTCCAGTTTCCTCACAAGGATTGCTTGGATATAGATACTGTCCCTCCAAGTCTTGGGTTTTACTTGCTCAATGGAACAGGGACAGAGCTGAGAGAGGGTTGGGAGCGTGTTTACTTGTTGCCTTCACAGTTATTCACGTGAAGTTTTCTGGAAATAGGGTATGTGTGTATGTCTGTGTGTGTCTTCCTGTGTAATAAAACGTGAATTGTGTGGTTCAGGAAAATACATGGTATTCTTCCCTATCATTCCATCTACCAGTAAATATTGATTGGGCAATTTTTTAAAAGCACAAATACTTTATTCCTTGTCTCAGTGAGTTTATTACCCAGTTGAGGGAATCAGTGCAAACATGTATGTGCCTAACTGCTTAGGAATATAAGGTGATGTGTGCTACATGTTACAAAATTAGTTTAGACAAGGAAGGTTATAGACCAAGGAAAGAAGGCATTTAAGGAAATAAGTGAGTGATAGGGAGAAGTAAGTTGACTCAAGGTACAGAGAGTTTTGAATGCCAAGTTGAGGCTTTTGTACCCTGCCCTATAGAGTGTGTAGTTTTGAAGATGTAGTAGGACCTAATGAGTATTGTCGGAAGATGAGGATTGTTTGGGCTGCTGCCATGAGCAAATAGAGGGAGGATGTTGTAACAACCTGAGTTAAAGTCACTATCCATCATTTACAAGGAGGCCAAAGCCTGATGTAAGGTGAGAGCAGAGGAAAGGGAAAGGAAGGTTTTCTCTGGTTCTGGTGGTCAGTTTAGCTAGATGTGTGGAACAGGTGGTGGTGCTGTTACAGAAATGGCAAAAGTTGAGAAGTTGGTTTCAGTAGAAATTTACAGCAGGTGTGGAAAAGCAGGTAGAGTATGAAATTAGGAGTTGGTGGTTCTGACGTGCTCCTTCAGAAAGCAAAGGAGATGTCTTTTGTGTTTTAAGAAGCAGAGAAGGTTTAAAAAAGGGGTGGGGGGCGCAGAGAAAACCCAAGAGCTGGAGCTGAATGGAGCTGGAGCAGGGGAAGACCATGGTAGCAAATAGAGAAGCCAGGATTGGTCCCATGGGGAGGTCACAGTATTTTAATATTCCTAAGAAATATTGTTGCTTTCTTGATGATGATGGAGAATGGTCTTTAAGAAAATGGCACGGTGAGTCATAAATTGGTAAGGATTTGAGGTAGCTATATCTCATGCCAGAAGCTTGGCAATCAAAATAAAGACAATAAAGGAAGTATGAAGGGATCATGAAAACAGACATCTTTCTCATATCTTTTTTTTGATTTAAGTAAGTATTTCACCCTCACTCCGCTGTGATTTGTTGCCATTTGGTTACAAATACCTCTGGCTATTCCAAGCATTTCTTTTTGTGGGTGAGTTTAAAAACCACTCTTTTCCAGATAGCTGGTGTTATCCTTTCCGTACAACCAGACTGTTTGCCAAGCACGGCATAAAATTCAGGTCTTTCTGTGTTCTTAAAACAGGAGTGAATTTGTTAGTGGGTACAGAGAGTGGCCTGATGCTGCTGGACAGAAGTGGCCAAGGGAAGGTATATCCTCTGATCAACAGAAGACGATTTCAGCAAATGGATGTCCTTGAAGGCTTGAATGTCTTGGTGACAATATCTGGTAAGTGTTCATTTAATAAAGCAGGATTATTTCCCAGCACGAAACTTCTGTTAGCTCCTTTTTTGAAGTAATGGCTGAACGAGGTACAAATATAGCATGGTCTCATAGTAAAGTAATAGAAAGATGTGACCCACATGTACACACTGAACCTGTAGGGCTCCTCTAAAGAGCAGTCTTGAAAAGCACAGGGGCATGTGCTCTCTAGTTGACCTCTCCCACACAACCACCCTCTCTGCCCCGTTGCTCGTTGGGTTTAATGTGGCTTCCCTGGCTTGGAGGTTTGTGTCTGCTTCCACCCATGGGACTGTTGCATGCAGAAGGGACTGTGCTCTGCCATGATGGCACAAGTACCATATTATGGTTTTTCTTTACATCCGTTAACACTTACTATAAGCTTCTTTTTAGAAAGAGGTTTTTTTTAGTATAAATTATGTAATATATGTGCATTTTGGAAAAACACTACTGTAGAAAAGCAAGTAGGAGAAATAAAATGTAAAATCATCCAGAGATACTATTGACTTCAATTTTTAACTTCTAATCTTTTAAGCATACACACACTTAAAATACACTCATAAAGGGGGGAAAATCTGCATTTAAATGGTTATACAACATTTCAAACATACAGACAATAATGAGAGAATGATTACAGAATAATGACACCCATGTACTGATTAGTTTTAACAGGTGTTAGATACACTTTTGTACCTGCAGTTAGCCTCCCTTCCCCTTTCAGCTGCCCCTGTAACCACTGTCCTGAAGTTATACAGTGTTCATTCTGGTTTGACCAAATCAGGTACTTGCTCTCTCTGTGTCATTAAACATTTCTTTATAAACAGTTGTATTTTATATGGCTATAGAGTGTTTTTTGTATAGATATTCTAAAATGTATTTACTTTTGTTGTAAATCTTTTAGTTTATCCCTTTTTTCCCCTCACGTAGATATTTTTGGCATATATCATATATCTTGTAGTTAACCATTGCACACACATGCCCGTGATGCGTGGGTACTGGTTTCCTAATAATTTGTATGATTGCTAGAGTCAAGAGTATGCAAAATTGGAATACTTTAGGTCTTCTAATAACCCACAGCAGTTTTGATTTAGTCATCTGCTAGCTCCAGCTTATTATATTTGTTTATATGTAACATCTCTTGCAGTTATTTTAGTTTTGAAATACGCTTTTGGTTGTAAGTAAAAGATGTTTGTTGAAGTGCAAAAATTTCGCCATCCATCTCATACTTAAATGAGAAAACAACCATTTACAACTTGAGTGTTAATGTGGAGTAGGTTTTAAAATTGGAGGAGAAATGAATCTGCCACTAAAAATGGCTTGGGCTTCATTTTGTGATTCACTGAACAAGAAGATTTATGGGAATCACTAAACAGCTGACACCAGTAATTTTTGGGGACTATTTTTCTCTATTCCTCTTTTGTAGCTTTTAATGATTTTTTTTTACAATCATGAAAGTAATACATATTAATTGTAGGAAGCTTAAAAAAATGAGAAAACCTTAGGAAGAATAAAACAAAATGTTACCCTATCTCAGAGACCACTCTCGTTGACACTTTTTTATATTTCCTTCTCCTCATATCTGTAAGTATATATTACAGTATGGAAATGGAACACTATATACATAAAAGTACATAGTTTTTGTTTCATTTAACATATTTTATTGAGTATTTCCCCACATTCAAAAAGTCTTCAAAACGGGCGCCTGGGTGGCTCAGTCGGTTAAGCATCCAACTTCAGCTCAGGTATGATCTTGCAGTCCATGAGTTTGAACCTCACGTGGGGCTCTGTGCTAACAGCTCAGAGCCTGGAGCCTGCTTGGGATTCTGTGTCTCCCTCTCTCTCTGCCCCTCTCCTGCTCACACTCTGTCTCTCTCTCAAAAATAAATAAACATTAAAAAAAATTTTTTTTATTTAAAAAAAAAAAGTCTTCAAAACTTAAAAAGATTGTGTTGAAGTATAAGACGTAATACAAAAAGTGCACAGATTATAAGTATATAGCCCAGTGAATTGTCACAGTTAGAATCCATCCATGTAGCACCTATACCCTGGTGAAGAAATGGAACAATCCCAGCAGTCCAGAAGCTTCCCTGCAGTCCCCACTTTGCTGCCTCCCAGTCACTGCCCCCCATGTTCCCAGAGGGAAGCACTGTCCTTTAAATACCTAAGATTGGTTTTACCTTCATTGAACTAAAGCTGCAGAAATGGTAAAATGGTAGGTATTCTTTTGTGTCTGGCTGGGGTTTTTTTGTTTTTGTTTTGTTTTTCTTAAAGAGCACTTTAGGTTTACAGAAAAGTTGGAAAGAAAATATAGACAATTCCTGTATTACCCCCCACCTCCAGTTTTCCCAATTAGCCTCATTAGTGTAGTACTTTTGTTGTAATTGATGATCCCGTATTCATACATTATTTTTATTAACTAAAGTCTGTAGTTTACATTAGGGTTCACCCTTTGTGTTGTACAGTTCTTTGGGTTCTGACAAACACATAATTATCCACAATTATAGACTAATTTCACTGCCCTGAAAATCCCCTGTGCTCCACCTATTCATCTCTCTCCAAAAGTCCCTGGCAACAACTGATTTTTTTTTTTTTTTTTAATTTTCTATGTGACCTTTTCCAGAACATCATAGTTGAAATCATGTGTAGTATGTAGCCTTTTCAGACTGGCATCTTTTCTCTAGCAATATGCATTTAAGGTTCCTCCATGTCTTTTCATGACTTGATAGTGCATTTCTTTTTATTGTTGAATAATCTTTTGTGTGGGTGTGCCACTTTGTGTATCCATTCACTTATTGAAAGACCTCTTGGTTGCTTCCAATTTGCAGCAATTATGAATGAAACTGCTACAAATATTTGTGGACAGTTTTTTGTGTAGACATGTTTTCAACTTATGTGCTTGGTTAAATACCTAGCAGCGTGATTACTGAACATAAGGTAAGACTACATTCAACTGGGCACCTGGGTGGCTCAGTTGGTTAAGTGCCCGACACTTGGTTTCCACTCAGATCATGATCTCGCACTTTCATGAGTTCAAGCCCTGCGTCAGGCTCTGCGCCCACAGCACAGAGCTTGCTTGGGGTTCTCTCTCCCTCCCTCCCTCCCTCCCTCCCTCCCTCCCTCCCTCTTTCTCTCTCTCTCTCTGCCCCTCCCCCACTTTTGCTGTCTCTCTCAAATAAATTTGAAAACATTATTAAAAAAAAAAAAAAGACTACATTCAGCTTTGTAAGAAATAGCTAGGCTGTCTTCTAAAGTGATTCTATCATATGTTCCTACAAGGCATGAATGAAGATGTTGCTCCATGGCCTCATCAGCATTTGGTGATGTATTTTGGATTAGTATAGTATAGTGTCTGATTATTGTTTTAATTTTTAATTCCTGATGAAATGATGTTGAATATCTTTTCACATGGTTATTTGCCATCTATGTATGTCATCTTTAGTGAGGTATCTGTTAAGGTCTTTTGTCTATTTTATAATCGGGTTGTTTTCTTCTCTTGAGTTTTAAGAGTTCTTTGTACGTTTTGGATACAAGTCCTTTATCAAATAGGTTTTTGCAATTTTTTTTTTTTTTTGCAGTTTGTGGCTTGTCTGTCCATTCTCTTAACTGTGTCTTCCACAAAAGTTTTTAATTTTAATAATGTCTAACTTACCTTTTTTTTTTTTTCTTTCATGGATTATCCTTTTGGTGTTATATCTGAAAAGGCATTGCCAAATCCAAGGAGGTTGTACCTAGGTTTTCTCCTATGTTATCTTCTAGAAGCTTTATAGCTTTACATTTCATGTTTAGGTCTGTGATCCATTTGATCTTTGTGAAAGGTTCAAAGTCTATAAATTCATTATTTTTTGTATATGAATGTCCAGTCCTTCTAGCAGTGATTGTCGAAAAGACCATCCTTTTTCTGTTGAATGGCCTTTGATCCTTTGTCAAAGATTAGTTCATTGTATTTTTTTGTTTGTTTTTTATTTTTGGGAGAGAGAACCAGTGGGGAAGAGGAGCAAAAGGAGAGAGAGAGAGAGAGAGAGAGAGAGAGAGAGAGAATGAATCTCAAGCAGGCTCCATGCTCAGTGTGGACCCCAATGCGGGGCTCTGTCCCACAACCCTGGGATCATAACCTGAGCTGAAATCAAGAGTTGGACACTCAACTGACTGAGCCACCCAGGCATCCCCATAGTTCATTATATTTGTGTGGGTCTAGATCTCTGTTTTGTTCCATTGATCTGTCTTTCCTTTTGCTAATACCACATCGTCTTGATTACTGTAGCTTTGAAGTAACTCTTGAAGTCAGGTAGTGTCAGCCCTCCAAACTTGTTCTTGCTCAATACTGTGTTGGCTGTTTTGGCTCTTTTGCCTTTCCATATAAAGTTTAGAGTCAGTTTATTAACATGTACAAATAACTTGATAGGATTTTGATTGGGATTACATTGATTGTACATAGATCAAGTTCAGTAGAACTTACATCTTAGCAATATTGAGTTTTACCCATGACCATTGAATATATCTCCATCTGTTTCGATCTCCTTTAATTTCTTTCTTCAGAGTTTTGTAGTTTTCCTCATACAGATGTTGTGTAGGCCTATTTTGTCACATTTATAACTAAATATATCTTTTTTTGGTTTTTAGTACTTCTGCAGATGCTGTATTTTAATTTCAAATTTCCAATTGCTTGTTGCAAGTATATAGGAAAACAGTTGACTTTTATATATGAACCTTGTAGCTTGCAACCTTATATAATTATTTATTAATTGCAGGAATTTTTTTTTTTTACCAGTTCTTTGTCATTTTCTATGTGAACAGTCCTGTATTTCTTCCTTCCCAGTTTGCATACCTTTTATTTCCTTTGTCTTACTGCATTAGCTAGGACATGTAGTATGATGTTTAATAGGAGTGGTAAGTGGGGACACCCTTCCCTTGTTCCTGATCTGAAGAGGAAAGTATCTAGTTTCTCACCATTAAGTATGGTATTAGCTGTAAGTTTTTTGTAGATGTTATTTGTCAAATTGAGGCAATTTCCCTCTATTCCTATTTGCTGTGAATTTTTGATCATGAAATGAATGTTGGGTTTTGTCAGATGTTTTTTCTGAATCTGTTGATAAGATCATATGATTTTTCTTCTTGAGCTTGTCAATGTGTCTAGTTTCTTTTGTTCAACACCCGTTTTGTTGTTGTTGCTCATAGAGGTGTATTCCACTTCATTTCTGTGTATGACTATACCACAATTCATTTATTTGTTCTGTTGTTGATAAACATTTGTGTTTGCTGTTTTCAGTTCTTAGGAACAATGCTGTTGTGAACATTCTTGTTCATGTTTTTGGGAGCTCATACACACATTAATATGAAGAGAGAAGTTACTGGATCATAAGTAACATATACATGCATCCTACTTTAATAGATAATGCCAAGCTTTTTAAAATGGTTCTAACAATTTATAGCACTGGTTTCTGAGTTTCTAGTTACTCCTCATCTTCCCTACTTTGAGTACTATTGTTCTTTTTAATTCTAGACACTCTGAAAGATGCATAAAATTGTATCTCATTATGGTTTTAATATGCATTCACTAATTGACTATTGAGAGCAAGTACTTTTTTATGTATCTGTGAGTTAACTTCTTTTGACTGTTATAGTCGACTGCCCACTTTTTCAATTGGGTTATCTCTCTTCTAAGTGATTTATAGGTAGTGAGTCCTCTGTCAGCCCTTTAAGTTGCACACATCTTCAATTTATGGCTTTTTGCTGGATTTGATTCCCTGCCTTGTTTGATCTATTTAATCTTTCTATGCTGTCTAATGAGAACTAATAGCTACTCCAGAGAGTTTTGAGAATCAGATCACATAATACATGTGAAAGCATCTTATAAGGTCTATTGGTTTCATTGCTGTGCAGGTGTTTGCATTACTTTGTGGTTTATGGATACTGGCTATCTACATAAGTGTGAGTTCTTTTTTCTTTTAAAACCTTCCCTTCTAATCAGGCCTATACCTGATGATAATTCTATAGGAGTTTCAAAATCCTTCTGAATAGCTTAAATTGAGGTTCTAGTAAAACTCATACAGAATGGTTCCCTTAGGAGGATAATATTTATTGCTCATTTGGTTACTGTTGTTATTGATAGATCGCACCTACTTTGAAATACGTATATAAAATATTTATATTTGTTTTGCTAGGCAAAAAAGATAAGTTACGTGTCTACTATTTGTCTTGGTTACGAAATAAAATACTTCACAATGATCCAGAAGTTGAGAAGAAGCAGGGATGGACAACCGTGGGGGATTTGGAAGGATGTGTACACTATAAAGTTGGTAAGTTCCAGGAGGGTCATGAGGGTTTTATTCTGCAGGGTTTTGTTCCACAGGGTTCTTTCTGATACACCTAGATGTTTTCTGCGATTATGTTTCTAAGGCATCTTCTAATCCCGAAGTGTCATCTTGACTCACAATGTACCTTTTAACATAACACCATTCATTCCTGCCATTCATTCTGTCCTCCATCCATCTCATGCTCACATTCATCTTGCGAGCGAGGCTTTTTACCCTTCCTCTTTGACAGTCCAGATTCTTCTCTGTAAGATGTGGTCACAATAACCTCCTAAGGAAACCTTGCCAAAGGAAAGCCAGCCAATTTGGATTCTTGCTTTGTGCTCCAAGCCTCATCTCCGTTGAGAGGACTTTGGGTCCTTGGCAGTCATTGACAGAATGTTTGAGAGTTTGACCAAAGAGCTATATGGCTTGTCGTTTTGAATGAAGCACACTGTGCAAAGCTGCTGTGCTCTTAACTACTAAACGAATCTAGCCGGCCAGCCAATGTTTCATAGCAACTGTCTTGTTTTTTCTTTTGCTGGCACGCATGCTTTGGTTCTTATGAAGTAAGAGATTGCAAGAACAAAACCAAAACAATTTTTTTTTATGTATGAAAAAAAATTAAAATACTGGTACTAATGTTGGAAGTAAAGGGGAAATAATGACGCTTAGCCAAATTAAACTTTATTGGAGAGATAATATATTCTAATAGAATTTGAAATGGGAATTTGAGAAGATCAGCAAATAGTCTCTATTATACCTAAGACTGATTAATGTAAGCGTCCTATTGAATATTGATTTCTGCTACTATGTTTTATTTTTTTCTGTTTATGAAAGTATATGCTATAGTCATTTTCTCTGCTTCTAGGGATATTACAGTCCTTGACATTCTCTTATTATTTATATAATCTGTCCACAACTCTCAGCTCACTGATTAATAATGATTGCAGAAGCCACCCCAGTTTGGCATGATTCTGAGTGTTACTGAAAAGTAGTACTATATACTTGATGAAATTTTGGGATTGGGATTTTCTGTGCTGTGTTTATGTGAAATAATTTTTGCAGGGTAACTAAAATCATCTAAGGTTAAATTTAATGAAATCATTCAGAATGGGTGAAATGTGCATGAATAGATTATCCTACAGGGGGAACTAGAGGCAGATGTGTTACACTGTGCTGGGCTTTTCATTGGAATAAAACAGTTATCCTCAGGTCTGTCATTCTTACAGAATGAATCACAAGCATTTTCTGCGGTAAGAGTGTGTGGTACCATTCATTCATTATACTTTTAGGAAATTATATTCAGTTTATCAAGACCTGTGCTGTACAATATGATTTCCATCAAGAATAGGGGCTACTTAAATTTATATTTAAATTAATTAACATGAAATAAACTATAAAATGTGGTTCTTCAGTGGCACTAGTACATTCCAAGTGCCCAATAGCCACATATAACTTGTGGCTATCATATTAACAGTACAGATCTAAAATCTTTTCATAATTGCAAAAAATTCTGTTAAACAGCACTGGTTTGGACAACCTTTGATAATCCTTTGTGTCTTAATATTAATGTCAGTGATTTATTCGAATAGTGATACTATATTGGAAATTAACAAGGAGAATTATCAAGTTAACAAGCCATCTCTCATGTGCAAAGGAAGAATAAAGTAGTATTGTGACATTAGATAGTTTATAAAGAAACTGGTAGAACTGTGCCAGACCACTAAGTCACGTGAGGGCACAGCCCCTCAGAGCATCTGTTTTTAAGCAGAGTTGCTTGGCTGCAAGAGAACCGGAATAGCTATGTAAAGAAGGCATTTTCAACTGAAAAAATATATATAGCTGAATAGAGATTTCCTTTACTACTGTTCTTTTTGTATGGAACTTTAGGTAGAATTCAGGCAGTCACTGCCTGTATAGATCAGGAAGCAGTTTGAAGTGATACTTAGCTGATTAACCACTTCATTATCCTTTTGAAGCAATACTGATTCCTTAAGACTTTAGGGTGGTAGGCCTGGCATTGTCTTTGATTAGTAAATACTTGCAGTCTAAGAAGATTAGGAACATTCGTGAAAGTATTCCTTAATAGTAACCAGAGTATTGGAATTGAGTCCCAAACATCAGTCAAGAAATATGGGAATAGGCTGAAAAAGTATTGGAAAAGGAAACTCTGAGGTTTGATCACTCAGCATTTTTTTCCTGTTGATCTAGATGACTCAATAGAAGGCATTATTTATAAAGTTTGCAAAAGACAACTAACAGAATTTAGAGTTCCATGTTGATTCTGACCTGTGCTTCTCTTGTTTATGTTGTTGTTTTCAGTAAAATATGAAAGAATCAAATTTCTGGTAATTGCTTTGAAGAGTTCTGTGGAGGTCTATGCGTGGGCACCCAAGCCATATCACAAATTTATGGCCTTTAAGGTAACACCATCAAGTGTACTTACAAGTAGCATCAGCCATGCATGCATGACCAAGAAAGAGCCAGAGGACAGTTTAAAAACCCTAAATAGTTAAAACTGATCATTTAAAAGCTATGTACTAATATAGAGTATAACTTTGTCATAAGAGAGGCCATTTCTAATGTAATAGGCCTCATTGTCTGCTTTCCAAGCCCTCAGAGTATGAGGAAAGAGCTAAATGTTTGGTAGACATTGATTGATATGTCAATATGGTAACAGAAGAAAGGACAAAGTAATGCCACCTCTAATTAAAAAGCAGATCTTGGGGTGCCTGGGTGGCTAAGTTGGTTAAGCGTCCGACTTCGGCTCAGGTCATGATCTCACGGCTTATGAGTTCAGACCTTGCATCGGGCTCTGTGCTGACAGCTCAGAGCCTGGAGCCTATTTCACATTCTGTGTCTCCTTCACTCTCTGCCCTCTCCCACTTGTGCTCTCTCTCTCAAAAATAAATAAAAACATTAAAAAAAACAAAAACAGCAGACCGTGACCATCTGCCTGAAGTGATGCATGTGTATAAAGATTTAGATATGTTTTTGATAAATAGTATCCAACAGTAGGCAGCTTGGAGGTATATCTTTTCAATAGAATACTAATTAAAACAAACATTTATTAGAATACTAATAAAAACAAATTACAGAAATTCTTAATGACACAGGAATATGTATTATGCGTTAAATAGAAAAAGTTAAAAGCATGAATAATGCATTGTTTCTGTTTAAGGGAAAAACTATAGAAAAACATTAGTATTTTTCTGTGTGAGTATTTTTAATATATTTTATAATTCTAGAGTTTGCATTAGATACAAATTTATGAAATTCTTAATTAAAATATTACTTTGACATTAGATATTATAAATAACTTAACATCATTTCTTATATTAGGCACAAAACTTTGAGTATAGCTCCTGGGGCTGTTTTAGTGCATATCATGAAATTAAGAATTTTTCATCCAAAATGATTCTATTTACTTACCTTTTTTTCTTGTTCTTGATACATTTTATTAAGGGTAAGTTTCAAGTATTTGGAAAATTAACATATTTAGATTGCTTATTGCTTGATTCCCTAATAACGCAGGATAAATGGGGTTACCATATTTGCTTAAGAAATAAATCCACATGTTACTGACTAAAAGTAATTGGTTGTATCTTCTGAGATCTGGTCTTAATATCCTTTATGTGCCAGATGTACTCTCCTAGTTGCTTTTATAAGTATATTGTTTAAGTCTGTCTTGTGAGCTGTAGGTATTGATATTAATCAAGAACTGAGGTCATCTAGTTTATTACAGGTCATCCAGGTTAATACCTACATCTTCATCACTATATTGCTCCAGTCAAAAAATTAAAGTAGAAGTCTCTATGATGACTATGATGACCATACTAAAAATTCTCAGTATGTGACTCCTGCAACTCTACCTCTTTCTCCATTGTCTGCATTGAATAGTTGAATACTGTGCTACAGAAAGTCCTGGTTCTTTCACTTTAGATGTTTTTCTCACCAAGACAAGAAGGTGGAATTCTTGGGCCAGGTAGGGGGAATTTGCGACACGTCTTCTGGAAGAAATGTCTCCCAGATGCTGATTGGCAGACAAAAGCATAATAAATTAGAGACTCATTTCATAGAGTATTTTTGCTTATGGTTGTTGCCAGAATGGCTCAGTAATTAAATAACTGAGTACCTTGGGTTTGGCTTCTCCTGTTTGATCTATCAGAAATAAGTTCTTCTTTGTCTTACTACTTTTGTCTCGGTTACTTCTTTGTAGTCATTTGGAGAATTGGTACATAAGCCATTACTGGTGGATCTCACTGTTGAGGAAGGCCAGAGGTTGAAAGTGATCTATGGATCCTGTGCTGGATTTCATGCTGTTGATGTGGATTCAGGATCAGTCTATGACATTTATCTACCAACACACGTAAGAAAGAACCCACACTCTATGGTTGGTTGACTGGCTTCATTTTGTTTTGACTTTTTTCTTTACTCTGCTTAGTGAACTAACACAAGCAGGGATTCCTTGCTTCCCCTTGGTGTGGGGGTGAGTATTTAAATGATGTGCCATTCTCAATAGCTGCATGCTCTGAGACAAGTGGAAATCCATTCCCCTGGCTCTGTGAAGCCCTCCTGAAAACCTCTTAGCCCTGGCTTTGACTAACATGGGATGTATTTGGGGCAATTGCTGGCAGGTCAGAATATCCCTGGGTTGGGAGTGGTTTTAATTAATTTCTTAATAGAATCCACAATCCAGATATGTTCCAGGGGCCTCAGAAAATGTGAACTAGTAGAGTACATGACCTGTAAAAGGTATTCTTTGAGATATATGTCGCATGAGTTTTCCAAAATTTTATTCAATTGCTGTATTTATTCACCTGGAATATTAACCAGTGCATTCACCAAGACAATCTTTTTGAACGCTATTTCAAGGATAGAAATAACCACAAACATACTTCCCTGTACTTTGTTCCTCTTCTCTAGATCCAGTGTAGCATCAAACCCCATGCAATCATCATCCTCCCCAACACAGATGGCATGGAGCTTCTGGTGTGCTATGAAGATGAAGGGGTTTATGTGAATACCTATGGAAGAATCACCAAGGATGTGGTTCTGCAGTGGGGAGAGATGCCAACATCTGTAGGTAGGTATCACTCAGAGGAAAAGATAGCATATGTAAAAATGGAGCCTTCTCTAAAACTGCATGTTATCACATCAGTTTTACCTGTTGTTCAGACATTTTGGCCATTTAGCAGAATGGTTGGCAGAAAAACAAAAAACAAACAAAAAAAACCCAGAATGGTTGGCAATATTGATGGTGAAAAGGGAGATTGTAGACCATGGCACTGGTCATAGTCTGTTTTAGAACAAAATCCAAGTAGTTATTTAACACTTTAAAACTCTGTCATTTACAGTCCTTCATTTAATCCTTAAGACATCCAGGATGTAGGACAGATGTGGTTGTTGACTAATCTGTGGAAAGTAAAATGAGGCAGAAAAAGGGTAAGGGATTTATTTTTTCGAGTGGCAGTGCCACTCGATAATCTGAAATTTTTAGTTTATATCCCAAGTTGTTCTGGTTTCAATGTAGTCATTTTCTCTTCTCATCACTTCTTCTTCCTGCCTTCTTTATGACTGGTTTGATAAAAATAGGAGCACTAAACTATATCCAGTGGGTCATTGCTCAAAATAAGCATGAACCATCTCAAGAATTCAAATTACCACTTCTCAGGATAAACTTTAAAAGCAAAACTTCCTTAAAACAAAACAAAAGCAAAGTTCCTTAAAAACAAAAATCTCCATATGCTAGACATGCAGATAATGTGTGTGTTATATGAGCAGCATCTTTTCATAGCTGTTTCCTTATCTATAACAATTTCATGTTTTCTCCTCTCAAAAAGCATATATTCGATCGAATCAGACGATGGGCTGGGGAGAAAAGGCCATAGAGATCCGATCTGTGGAAACTGGTCACTTGGATGGTGTGTTTATGCACAAAAGGGCTCAAAGACTAAAATTCTTATGTGAACGCAATGACAAGGTAATGGTTTCCTTACAACTTCTCTTGAGCTGCTGTTAGCTTTGGTAATGGTTTACTTTCCATGGGGTTTGGTGAAGCCTTTTCTTGAGGTTTTGATAGATTCTGAAATAAATTCATCAAGCAACATTTTAGTAGTGACTTTTTAGACCTGTATATAGGAGTTGGGGTCTGTTTTATTTTGTGTTTGCTTTTGAAGGGAGAAGAGATACTTGTTTCTGCCAAAATCATCGTATTTTGTTTGTAGTGGTTGTTTTTAACCCCAGTAGGTGACCTGTATGAGCTATGTTTGGTTTAGGGATAGAAAAGATTAAAACTGCCAATCTAGTGGGATTCTTCTGTGATTGGAAGAAAGCCCCTTGCAAATTTGGTAGGGTAAAAGTTTCCTCTCGAGACCCTGATGTGCATCAGAAGGATACTACTTGTCTGCTTCTGAATAGTAAAATAACTTCATAGTTTGCATGTCAGAAATACCTAACAGTATAAATCATTTTATGCAGAAGCATGAGCACCTCCTGCAGCTGAGACCCCCAGTCTTCAAAAGACCTAAAAACCTTTGTTTTTCAAAACTGGCCACATCCTTGTTACTTTCAAGGCCTACCAACTCCCTGGAATCCCCTCCCTAAACCAGCCTTGGAGTGGAGCAGCTGGATGGCCAAGGGTGTTGACCCATCCCACGTGCTTTGAGAAGGACCTCCCAGGTGGGCCTGGCCTTTACCAAGCCCAGCTTTCTCTCTTTTCCCTCCACTTGGATGAAAATGTCTTACTACCTGAGGCAGCCTGTTGCAACCTTAGAAACTTCCTCTTAAGAACATTTCCACCTCTTGTCTCACATTAAAATATATTAAATATCCTAGCCAGTGGCCCACTAATTGACTTCTCAGATTAAATTTGAAAATTCACCTTGACAGAGAAGAGCTCTAGATCTCTTCCTTGACAGCTGGGCTTTCTGCCTAACTGCATGCTCAGTAAATACATTGCACCACCACCAGCCCCCTTTCCTGTGATCCTGTAGCTCGTTTACTAATGGTGTTGACATTGTTTTCTAATCATTTACCTTAGAAATCCATACAACTTCCCAACCCAATCCAGGATTTTGCCAGCTTTTTGGCTTATATTTTCCTGAGTATATTTAATGTAGCCATAACTATAATATTCTTTGAACTTGGGCATTTAAATATTTTTATTATTTATTATGTTATATCCTTTGAAGTTTACTAATCAAAGGCCCAAAAGTAAACTATAGTATTGTGACTATAGAGTAATATGAAATAACATATATTTTAGCTTAATTTTTTAAAAGAGAAAAATCAGGTTGCTAAGGAGTTTTCCAGACACATTTATCTTTTAGATGATATTAGCAGTGGAGATAAAAAGAAATAACTCAATTTCAGAAATATCACTGTTTTTCTTTTCAGTTCTCACAATATGGCAGTGATAGCCTTCTTAGTTGTGATAAAAATTAGCTACAGAGATGATCTCCTTATGATCAAGTAATACTGATGTCCTCTCAGATTTTCTTTTGAAAGAGGCCTTTGGGCTTTTAGGCTGCCTGCATTTACATTTCATGGTAAATCCCTCCCTCTTTCTCTTGATTTTGCAGGTCTTCTTCGCCTCCGTTCGGTCTGGTGGCAGCAGTCAGGTTTATTTCATGACATTAGGCAGGACTTCCCTTCTGAGCTGGTAGAAGCATTGTGATGAGGATTGCTGGCCCCCAGAGTCTTCAATGAGATCCTGAGAACTTGGAATTCCTTGCAACTGGAGCTCAGAGCTGCACCGGTGTAGTCCAGGACAGCTGTGTATGCAGACACCACGTGTGGGGTGTTTCGTTTCGTTTCATTTCCTTTCTGCACCTCTTACCAGTTTATCCCCCTTCTCTTCTTTCCCCTACTCAAAAATAAATCAAGGCTGCAATGCAGCTGGTGCTGTTCACATTCTACCATCAGGTGCTATAAGTGTTTGGGATCGAGCATCAGACCAGAAAGCAAATGCCTTTCCTTCAGCTCCAGAATTCCTTGTCTCTGAGTGACTCTGTCTTATGGGTATCTGAAAGTGGAGACTATGAACATGCCATTGGTTTGGAAGTGGGCACATGGAGGTGTAAAATGGTGGTCTCATGAGCGGTTTGCTGAAGCAGAGAGCAGATTTAATATAGTAACATTAACAGTGTATTTAATTGACATTTCTTTTTTGTAATGTGACAATATGTGGTCAAAGAAGAAGGTGCAGGTTTAAGAAGTTAATATTTATAAAATGTGAAAGACACAGTTACTAGGATAACTTTTTTGTGGGTGGGGCTTGGGAGGCAGGGTGGGGTGGGTTAAGGGGGTCCGATTTTATTTGGATTTTTTTTTTTTTTTTTTTTTTTTTTTTTTTTTTTTTTTTTTTTTTTTGGCTTGGCCAAAAACTCCGTCATTTTTCTGTGTACCAGGTTTTGCCTAAATCATGTGCAGATGGTTCTTAAAAAAAAAAAAAAGGAAAAAAAAAAAAAAAGGAAAAAGAAAATGTGTGCATTTGTATAATGGCCAGAACTTTGTTGTGTGACAGTATTAGCACTGCCTCAGCCTAAAGGTTTAATTTTTGTTTAAACCTAGAAGCACGACAAGTTTTACCACAGTCTGCACTTGCAGAGGAAAAGAAATTGTTTCAGCCACATGTTTATTTTTTTGCCTACCTCATTGTTTGTAATGCATTAAGAGGTGGTTTAGTTTATATGTTTTTGGAGGAAAACATTAATGTTTAATTTAATCTTAATACCAAAACTATCAGATTGAAGTTTGACTGTTATTTTGTCACAGGTCTCAGTAGGCACAAGAGAAATTGTCCCTGAAGATGGGAAATAGCCACATGGTTTCATCATGCTGATGGATGCAGTCTGTTTTTCTGAGTTCAGAGAGCAGAATGCTTCGTTTTCACCAGATGCACCACTAGTGGTTGATGGGCAACTATGGCCTCTAACACAAGGGGCCTCACTGTTCTCAATTTGGGGTTTGGTGGCAGACAGGCGGTCATGTTAGAATAGTCACACAAACTGTTCAGTGTTGCAGGAACCTTTTCTTGGCAGGGGGTGGGGGGGTGGAGTTTCCCTTTTCTAAAAATGCAATGCACTAAAACTATTTTAAGAATGTAGTTAATACTGCTTATTCATAAGATGGCATCTTCCTGTGTTTTAGGTGTAATATCCAAGCCCTGGCTTTTCTCCTCCTCTCACTTGCTCTCTTGTTCTCTCTCTGTTTTTTAAACCAATTTTACTTTATGAATATGTTCATGACATTTGTAATAAATGTCTTGGGTAATAATTTGTTTCATGGCTTCATGGTCACTCAATTCCTCTGAGACTATTAATCTCTTGGTAAAGGAGCAATGCTCAGTGTCATGGCTGTGCCATCTTACTTTCCTCTTGTTGAGTTTCGAGTGGGAATATTGTGTGATGGCTACTTTAAACTTTGTTTACCAAACAGAACTTGGCATTTCATAGGTTTAATACTCCTTTGTGATTAAGTTTCTTTTATAACATGAAAAAGGAAGATTTTCCTCCCAAAAATATAACAATCATTTGCACCTATTTGTTAAGGCTTTGCCCAGCATTCTCATCCTATTTGGCATCCAGTTTGACCCCTGTTATTCTGTTCCTCCCGGTCAGCATCTCTGCCGAAGGCTCTCCTTTGAATCATAAAAACCTAGTGAACAATCTGTATAGTCACAGATGCAGAAACAGCAGCTGGTTGTACATAGCCACAATGACAGATAAGTAAGCGAGCCTTAGTCTCTTTTGAAAAGGACAAGGCATTAGAAATGGTTTTTCCATCTGTGTGACTTTGGAATGATGCTGATGTCCAAAGCAGAAAGGACTAGTTCTTTTCTACGGATTCATAGTTAACACAGAGAAGATTGAAAAGTTAATGCCACCTTTGGAAGGGACTTTTGAGATGGGCCAGATGCCATCACCACAGAATTTCAATCAAAATCAAATTACCGCTGGTGATTTCCTACATGTTTTAGTTTTTTTGGGTAAGATAAAACGTGCCACAGTGAACACGTGTGCATGCCAAGAGGAGAAAGAACTAGATGGCTTGGTCAATCCAAGTTGGCTTTGTAGCCTCTCCTGTGACTTTAGAGAGAGGTAAAGTTGAACAGGTATCTGAAAAAACAGTGAATTTCTGGTACCAATAAGGAAGACAGAAAAAAAAGTACTTATCCAACAGACTTGAAGCTCAGTGTCTGTAAGTCAAGGTGGGGTGCACAGATAATGCACATGACTTTTCATTGGAATTACAATTTAGAACTTGACAAAAACTGGATTTCCTTTCGGAGGTAGTGGGGTCTGAGCTCAAGCCTGAATTGTGCCTGTCCTGGTAGCCACCTGGCACTCTTTTGGTGTTTGTGTTGAACGTAATCAAATCCATCTGTGTGCTTAATTCACTGAGGTCAGACTGCCGTTTGTCCTTATGGAGCGGGCTCCTGGTGTGTGCTTTCCTTGGCTGTGGTGTCCTTGCCTTCTTGGCTGCAGCACCTTGTACACGAGATTGTGTTGCTACAGCTTGATTCAGGTACCCAGTTAGGTTTCTCCATTAAAAATTACGAGCTGGTGAAATTTCCTTCTTCTAGAGAAGGGGGTGATCTTTTTTTTCCTTTAACAGGGTAGTGACTTCACAAAAGTGCCAAGATGGCAAAATTATAAAAAGAAGACAGTATTATACCATTAAATATGGAACATTGAACTACTTAGCACTGCTCTTCAAAATACAGATGTCTCTAGGTATAGTCAAAGCTTTAATAAGTAATACCTTTCTGTATTTAAATCAGAGCAACTCTGTATTGAGTGCAGTGTTTTTATTTTTTTCTCATGCACATGTTATGTTGGAAAAAATGTTTACAAAAATGGTTTTGTATCACTAATGTGCATCATATTTATGGTTTATTTTTAAGTGATTTTTTTATGGGTTATTTAGGTTTCTGTCTTAGTTGTAGTCCACTTACAGTGACTCATAATTCTTAACTTTGCCAATTATAAATTTGCTAAGCAGTAATACAAATGACAGACTGCATTAAATTTACTAATCCTACAGCTGCAAAGCAGACTGGTGGCAAGTACATGCCCCCCCCCCCCAACCCAAGTGCTAACTGGTCTTCTGTGTATTATGAAAATTACTGTTGTCCCCCCACCTTTCTCCTTAAATAAAAGAAAAATGACACCTATTTTATGTGGCATGAGTTTCAAATATATTCTGATCCTTCAGAATGTCTCCTTCCCATGAGGATCCATATTTTATACACACCTCCTTCCCCAGTGCCACCCCTGGCTAGAGAGGGTGGCTCCATATCCTGCTATCTCCTGAAACAGGAATGTTTGTTCAAGGTGAGCTCTTGATCTTGAAGCCAAAATGGGTAAAGCTGATCCTTAAGGAGGAAATAAGGTTTTATTTTTGCAAGTCTGAATTGAATCAGAAAGTAAACTAGCATGATGTTTGTATCTAATAGGACAGTTGAAGTGGCCCTTTCTCAAATTGGCATCATAAATACTAAGGCCTAGTAATTGGAAGGTCTTTGTGGCCAAGCCCCTGGGGTGTGTGTCACTGATTTCCCCCAGAGATCTGACATGCGTGATCCCCATTGGACAGATCTAGGACCACATTGCCGCGACCAGCACTTTGGCCAAGCCTCCATGGTTGCAAAGGGGAGGCCACACTACATGATCATAACTCACATGTTAATAAACCAGCTCCTTTGTGCTTCATATTAGAAACATGTTGTTTCTCTAAGGTAAAAATAAAATTGTAAATACCTAGGCCACCAAATGAGTATGTTTTGTCTTTTCCTACGTGATACTTGTTACAGCTGGTGGATGATTAAGGAATAAAAATCTCATGGAGGGCTAGTTGTCTTGGTACCATCATTCATTCTTCCTGTTCCTACTTTGTCCTCCACTGGTGTGGATCTTCTTAAACAAGCAACCAAGATGAAAACAGCCCCTATAACTGATACCAGCTCTGTGTTTTGGCATCACATTCAAGGATACAGTAAAATTGCTGCCTTCTTTGCCATCTGTGACTTCAACAACAACAGATACCGTGCTTTACTTTCAGAGTACAGTTCACCCTTAAACAACATGGGACTAGGGTCACCAACCCCTTGTGCCATCTAAACTCAGTATAACTTCCAACTCCCCGGTAGCAGGCTAACTACCAGTAGCCTACTGTTGATTGACTGGAAGCCTTACTGATAACGTAAACAGTCAACACATACTTTGTGTATGTGTTACATACTGCATTCTTAAAGTAAGCTAGAGAAAAGAAAATGTTATTAAAGCTGTAAGGAAAACACTGTAGTTATTAAAAAGTAAAACTGAAAAAAAAAACAGTTAAGGAATTAAATGTTGGGAAAAGTCATTACTGCATTTTCTTCTGGGAGAAATAACATACTCAGATACAGGTTCTCATACCTGGTCCACTTTCCCTTTCACCTGAATGTTAATCGGATTCTACCCAGGTTTCAAAATCTGTCCCACTTCTGCCTCTGCCTTGCTTAACTTCCCTGTGCTTACAGTCAATAGCCTCTCCCATACCCTGATAGCTGAACGTGGCATTGCTTTTGTTCACTCTTTGTTTCTGTCTGCATACAGAGTCTGCATATGAGCTGAAGTTGGTTCTCAGGGTTAACCATTTATTAAATCCTAACTTCTCTGCTCCTCAGAAACTGCCAAACATGTTGCTGGTGCTGAACAGGCACACACAAATTCCTGATCGTTTGTTTAAGTAGCATGAAATTAAAACCCTGGTGTTAGTCCAAAGGGAAGCCAGCGCTTGTATGCCTTGTGGGACTTGTGAGGAAGTGTGCTGGTGTAGACAGGTCCTAGGAAGGGTGT